TTTTGGTAATTGATTTGTTTGTAAACGACCACGTTCACCAAAACCAGACATCCAAACAATATCAAGTTTACCTAATGTTGTTGTGGAATGAATTTCGTCAAAACTAGCATCTTTTCGAGCTTTTAAATAAAACATATATGTTGTAATTTCATTTGGTCGAATAAAACGCCATGATTCACAAAGTGAACTAAATAAATAAAAATAATAAGAATAAGAACATTAAAAAAAAAAGAAAATACTTTTCGGAATTTTCATGATGAAGATTACTTAGATTTATCGCGGTATATGCAGTTGATGGTTCCAATGCAACAGTTCTATTTAAATTCATAACAAAATAAATAATAAGAATATGATCAAAAAAAACAAACGTCATATTTAATATTGATGGAGTTTGATTTTGAATATCAGCAACAATATAATATTCATCATGCTAATAGAAAAGAAACCGATTAAACAAAAAATATTGTATAGAAAAAATATTTACTGTTGCACCAGATATAAAACGTGTTTTTAAATCAATTGGTTTGCCAACCTAGAATTAGAATTTTATATATCTAAAATAATTTAGTTTTAAATTTAACTTACAGGTAATTTAAAAACTTTTTTTAAATTACATTTTTCACCATTTTGATCGATACATGTTACAGTACATACTAGACTAAAAAATATTGATTTTAAATTTATTTTTACTAATTAAACTATTTATTAAAAGATAAGATTACATAATAGTAGAAATTCGAGAATCGAATATTTTATCTCTAAGTATATTGATCGAAAGATAACAGATTTTATCTTTAAGATAGAAAATACTGAAATATAAATATTCGCGACGAGGATAAGTAGGCTTAGTAAGAACTGAAGTGATCTATCTAACATTTTAGTTGTTTCCTATGAGATTTCATATATCTCTATACTTACGAATGATTTCCAAGTTCTTTAACTTCATGTTGTAAAACTCGTGAAATACTTTGATCTGGTGCTAATTCAATTTTATTCAAATCATTTTGATCACCTGAACTAAGTGTAATTCTTTGTGAAGCTGTTTGAATATCTGTCTAGAAAAAAAAGTCAAATAAATCTTTCTTTACACAGCAAATTATTTAAATTTTACTTTAAGAATTACATCTCGAAGTATCTGATCACTCTGGTTATGTAAAGCAACAATCGCGGAGAATATTTCACCCAAAAATACATTACTAATTTTAAAGAAAAAAACAATATTGAAATTTAGTAAAGAATAATAACTAACCCAAAACTATATGGAAGTACAAGTAAATGACTGAATACCGAATTATCACTTCCAATTGCTATATCATGTGATTGACCAGTAAGAAATGCAGCTACGGATGATGAAGATTCGTCTTCACCATAAACTGGTATATTTTGATATAATGCAGGTTTAGATAACCGCATAACTAAAATAAAAAAAAATATTTTCATTTTAAATAGAAAAAAATAATAATAAATCTAACCTCGAACAGCAAGTGGTTCATTATTTTTTATTGTATCTACTGATGTATTTGTAGATGCTGTTGGTGCAGTCGTCGTGCTTGCTATAGATATTGACATAATAAATTACATATCTAGAACGAAAATTTATTTAACCTTGAAAACAAACAAAAAAAACAAATCACATAGGATTTAACGAAAGATTAATTTTTAACAATATATTCATATTTTTTATCATCTGTTGATTCAATTTCAACAATATTAACTGAAGTTTTCTTTTTCGGTAATTGTAATAATGTTGATTCAATTTTTTCATCATTATTTTCATCGTCAGAACTATCTTCCGATTGTGATGATGTATCAACATTTGGACAAAACATTAGATTCATTTCAATTGGTCTTTGTTCATCTTCATCAGAATCTAATTCAATCCGAACATTTTCACCTGATTCAATTTTAGAAAATAATGTTCGATTTGCATCAGTTAATAATGGAAGAAAATTTTTACAACGTGATATTAAATCACTACTATCAATACGAATTGTTGTTGTTGATTGTTCATTTAAACAGTTCTTAGTTGCATTATTCGGATTACTAGGAATATGTTCATCCAAATAAACATGTTTAGCAACATTTTTTTTTAATACAGAAAAAAAATCACTTGAACTATTCGATTCATCATCATGATTTAATTCATTGAAATTCCAAGAAGATAAATTTTTAGGTGGAGATGAAGACGAATCATCGGTCATCTAAAATTAACAATTATTCAAATGACGAACAAAATTTTTATGAACAAAGAAAGAAATTTCTTCATCTCAATCTAATAAAATTTATTCCAAATAACCAATCTAATCGAACTTGGGTATATTAAATGCATTAATGCATTAGTAGTAATGCAATACTCTTTTTTTCCTCTCTGGTTGTTACTTAGCAACGATTCAAGTTTATAACGAAATGAATCTTAGATTCTTTTCTCTTCTTTTTCTAATATAAAGCGCGAAGGCCGTAAAGATGACGGATTTAATGAATACATCACATCATCATCCACCAAATCCAAATGAAATTGTTGGAAATCGACGACCAGCACGTCCATCGAGTGCACAATTACGATCAACTACACCAACACGAAATCGACAACAACATAATAATACAACTTCAAATGGTTTAAATACAACAGCGAAATTAGAACAATCAATTTTAAAACATGACTTAGATCGTACAACGATGTCAACGAATTCACAAAAATTAAATGGAAAAGGAAAAAATCGTTTATATTCAACATGGACACCTTTACAAGATGAGGAAACAAATGCTAGAGTAAGATAATAAGAAAAACTTATTCATAAAAGAGATTACATATATTTTCTTTTAGTTATTTGAAGAACGAAAATTACTTTTGAATAAATGGGTATGAATTTTTATTTTAGTTAAATTTCATTTGAAGTTAAATTTTTAGTTTGAAAAATGGACTGATGATCAACGTCGTGTTGTTCTTGATGATTTAATGGGACAATCACGTCCTCGTCAGTTGACATATACACGAAATTTATTAACGAAAAGATTTCCTGCTCATCATAATGATTTTACTCGATTATTTCCACGTGTACTTTGTCTTTATATATTTTCATATCTTGATCCACGCAGTCTTTGTCGTTGTGCACAAGTAGAATGTTTTTTTTTCGTTTCATTTATTTCATATGTAACGTTTTTTTTCGTTTACAAGGTATGTTGGTATTGGAAATTTTTAACTGAATCTGATCAAATTTGGATGCCAAAATGTCTTCGTTTTGGTTGGACACCAAAATATAGTCCATCATCATTTGAAAGTAACGTTTGGAAACGTGTCTATACATTTAATATTCAAGCCTTACAAACAATGCCTGTTCGAGTATGAAAAATAATCGTTTTTTTGTCTTTTTGCAAATTTCTTCATATAAAATTATCAGATAAATTTCTTAATACCATTATCGAATTTAAGAAAAACTATATCATCTATTGAAAATCTATCAATGACTAATACATATGCACAAACAATAGAGACAAGAAGAAATTTTCGACGAACAATCGTAATTAAATAATAGAATTAAATCATTTGTATTTTGCTAATTTATTTCGTTTTTACTCTTTAAAATGAATATTTGATCTCATGAGATAGAAATAGTTGAAATAAATACTAACGTTTTTTTTCTTCTTGTATTAGGATTATTCTCAACGTTCGCAAAGCGCTTATTATGATGATCAATCATCTTCTCGTCAAAATACTGCACGTTCACATACACATACAAATCGTAATCAACATAATCAATCTCATTTATCATCATCATCAAGAACAAATCGTAATGTAGAACATCCACCATGGCGTGCCAATAGGTGATATAAACTCATAGAAATAATTCATTGTTCATCTATCTGTTTCTATTCTAGTCGCAATCCAAGTGATACACTTCGTTTTAATTATTTAGACAATGATGATAGTGAACTTGAATCATTAATTGCTAAACATCGTAAACAAGGAACAAGTATTCTTCATCCAACAGAATCTGATCATGAATTAAAAAATACAACTAAAGAAAGACAAGGACGTAATCGAGTTGATGACAGACATGAACATAATGGAAGTATACGAAGAAGTCAATCTTTAGTATGATTTATATATATTCGAATATTTCTAATAATTATTTGTTTTTAATTTATTAAATAATAGAGTGCTCGTGGTAGTCCATCCGTTAGTTTTCGTGATGATCATACATCAAGAAATTCTAATCATAATAATTCATATTTGAATCGACCTCCATCAACATCAGGTTTTCCTAATCGACCTGCAGATATGCCCCGACCACCATCATCAGCTCAAAAATCAAAATATTCATCAAAAATAGCAACTAATGGTAAGCGATTCATAGATACTTAATTTTTGTTTTTTTGATTTTATAAAATATTTTAATAGAAGCATCGAATCGAACTTGGCATACAATGAATAATGATAATTATATTGACGAATAATTTTCTCATGATTTCTTTTTTTTGCATATTTTTCTTTGGCAATACCATTTTCAAAAAAAAACACTTTGTATTTCTTATTGTTGCCATGTTGTTGTTTTTTTCTCTATGTCTTATTGTTGTTTGTTAATCTATATAGTAGACATTTTTCTCATAGTTAATGTATTTCTCTTATGGTTGGTTTGATTGAAACAATTCATTTTATTTAGATATCAACATACACATAGTGTTTGGACTAATAAGTCATTTGAATATTAATCAATGCTTTTGTTTTAGTTGTCTTTTTTTCTAAAAATACCATTGTGATGTGTATATCTTAGAAATATATAACAGTATGATACGAAGTTTAGATAATATATGTATATGAAAATGAATAGAAGAGAACGCCATCTGATGGAGTTTTTATTTAGGAGTGGCTTGGAAGAGATATTAAAAGAATGTGATATGAATCATTTCAAGTTGTATTAGAAGTATTTGAGTGCAAATTTCTTTTTAAATAAAAGAAAATTTTAATTCATTCATAATGTCATCCAACGCTGCTCATCAATCGAATAGCAATGCTAATGTTAATGAACCACCACAATATGATAAAGATCGTACTGTTGAAGGTGCTCCATTGAAGGCGAATGAACTTGCTGAGAAATGTACATCACAAACATGTGGTCATGATGCTGTTGGTGGTGGTACACAAGAAACAAGCAATGATAATTATGGTCATCGACAATAGATTTTTATTTTATTGTTTTATTAAAGAAAAAAATCAATAAAAGAAGAAGAGACTTTATTTTAAATTCAAAAATTATCTTTCACTAATAGAAATTTTTAATGATGTAATTTTAATAGATTTTAATGGATAATTTATATAATCAATGAAATATACACTTTGTTAAAATTGCTGCAAATATAGTTAATTCATAAATTAGAATATCTAATGCCCAATAATCAACACATTTATCGTATCCTATTTACTTTTGTTGAAGAATTATTTCTGAGTTCTCAAATTGTGGTATATCACATATAGTTGATTTTAATTTATTTATTCGTTTAGTAAAATTAGAATAAATTAATTTTATATAACTTCGATCTGTTCAGATGATATAAAAATAGTTGAATTAATGAAATGAAAATAATTGAACTGATGTAATAATATTCATTTCCATGAAATAATCAAAGTCGTGGTATTGTTTCTAAGAAAATTCTTTAGAGTCATCACTTCAATAAAACTTTGCTCTATTCTCTGTAATGTTTCATATTTAATTAAATTTTTGTTTATTTTAACACCATCTAAACGTTCTTTATTTAAAAGTCTAATAAAGTTTAGACAAATAAAATATGTATAAAAAAGACAAATCCGATCATGTGGTTCTACCGTAAATTCTAATATTCTACCTTATCGTTTATAAAAAATCTCCATCATTCATTGTTCGAATAAGATAAACTTAATTCAAAAGGCTTTGCGAGTTCAACTAATCTCGCTACGTCTGTACTCACTTGCAAAAAAATTGAAACTTTTAGAATAAACTACTCTCATTTGGGCCCTCTATTTTTTGAAAAGTTTCAAATAAGAACTCAAAATTCTATTTTTACGGTAACCTGGTAACCAAGATACATTTCATTGAAAAATTCAGTATAATGACTATATAACTCAAGCAGGAAGACTCACTGCATGAATTATTTTAGGCTTTTTCTAGTCTCAATAGATTCTATCTAATGAGATAGAACTTGTTGCAAAAGCAATTTATCAGTTGGTGAGATTTCCTCGTAAATTGTGTTCAATAGATCTGAATGAATAAAGTGAATAGATTTTTCTACGAACTTGTACATAATTATTGATGGATATTTTAGACAAATTGTCAGTATATCGTTCAATACATGTATTAAAAAATTGTGTAATTGTTTGGGATTGTAATAATTGTTGGTTAGATGCTACCCAGGTCAAACAATCCGGCACGGAAACGCCCGGTACCATGGTAGTTCGGAGATTTCATGGCAGCAGTATTCCCGTTGTACGGATCCGGTGACCGGATTTATCTGGTTTGGGGCCAGAGCCGACAGGAAAATGTCAAAACCAGCAGCCTGATACGGTTACCTCACTTTTCCATCGGATTTCTGGCATTTTCCGGGCGGGTTCAGTCCAGAAATGGCGAGTTTCGTCTGGGATTTTGCTGGATTTTCATGGAATCCTGCTTCAGGAACCATCGTTCTGGGTACTGGATTATTATATAACCATTTTTAAACATATTCATTTGTATCTTCATTCAATGATATTTTCAGTTCCAGCAAGTTGTTAACGTAAAATGTTATATTATTTAATTCTTCATCTTTTAATCCAAATTCTCGTTGTTTTAGTTTAGTATTAGTGAATGCACTATAACAATAAAGAGCAAGTAATCGATGAAATGGTCTTTCATCATTGTTAAACATTAATGGTGATCCATGTTCCAGGTCGAACAACCCAGCATGGAAACGGCCGGTTCTGCGGTGTTCCGGAGATTTCATGGAATCCTGCTTCAGAAACCATCGTCCTGGGTTAGGCGTAAATAATTTCTTGGATTATCAATATCTGATAAGTTTAAATAAAAAAATTGTAAACTACTTGCTTTTGGTTTGGGATAAATGTGTGCGGTACCTACGTGTTTGGATTTTTTGTTAATTGTTCCCAGAGCCATACAAGAATATTTTTTTACATTATAAAAATTCATAACGAACTCTCGTTGATTTTTTGACGTTCGAATTTTGTTAATGATTGTTTCTGTGGTTGATTTTGTTGCTGTTGCTGTTGTTGACTAAGCTTGAGGGTGTGGGTGTGGATACCCCCTTTGGATCAATAAAGAACACCCAC